TGCTCTTCATTGATTGCCAAAAGGGGACTCATATAGAGTTGAGGCAAGGGGCCTGCAACTTCACGGGGTAGATGGTCCACGTGCTCCGGCGGAGTTGGGGGCGCGCCCGAAGTTTGCGCGATCCAGGATAGTATGCTTTCCTCGTTATCGATGTCCGGCTCAGGAGTAGGCGACGGAAGCCTTTGTCTCTTGTGAGGATGGTCAGAGGCTTCGCCAAACTCTGCAGCGTTCGGTCGTGGCCGTTTTGTCACTGTGGCAGGCAATGTTTTTTTAGTGAGTAGGTTCTTTCGCTGCGTAGCAAAGCACCAGCACCGGGAGGTGTTATGTGGTGTTTTGTTCTTTAGATACTCTTTCGAAGCTGGGTGTTTAGGATATGCTTTGGCCCAAATCTCTTCTAGATTGTGAAAGACTTTGATGGAATGCTCCAAGGCGCTCTGGGGATGGGTTAGGATGATGGGAAATAGATATGTATATTTGGATACTAACAATGTAGTACTTGTCCTCTAGTATTGGGATTATCTGCACGAGACGCGAGATCATGCCGCGCTTCGTCCAACATAGTTCTTCACCAGGACGACCGAAACCGCGGAGCAACAACTGCGCCTGAAGCCATTCCTCCGAAACGTCCTCCACTTCGAGTCGTGCGTTATTGAGCTTTTGCAAGACATCCTCCTTGAGCTCAAGGTAGCAGTTGTTTATCTGCATTCGTTTGCGCGGGTGAAGCGACCCATTGTATGTATAGGACATTCCGGCCCAGGTCTGTCCGGCAGACAATGGTTTGGCCATTGTCGTAAGGAATTGGTGATGGGAGTTGAATTTGTGAAGTCAGGCTTGCAGTAAGTGAAGATAAGACAGGAATAACGCTTGTGTGTCGATGCTGTCTATAGTAGCAGCATATTACTAAGGTTATTATTAGCTCTTTTTACTAAAAACTAGTATACTACTAAAAGTAACTATAAGTTATATTACTACTACTACTAAGCTAAAGTAAAGTATAAGTAGTTAAAATTTTTACTTAAATATTTTTACTTATATAAACTACTATAAATATAGCTACTTTAGTATATTAAAATTACTTTTTTTATATAAACTTAAACTAACTTTAGTAAATACTACTTTACTCTTACTATATAATAGTAAAACTTAACTAATTTAAAGCTAAGCTTTAATATACTTACTATAATAATATAGTTTACTAGTACTACTATATAAGCTAAAAAGTTAATTATAAGTAATTTAATAAAACTTAAATAAAATATTTTTATACTACTAACTTTACTATTAATTACTTTATATAACTTTTTTATATAAACTTAGTTATAAGTAATTTACTAGTACTATTATTTATACTATAAAATACTTAAAAAGTATTATAGTTATAAAAGTAAAATAAAAGTATAATTATATATATTTAGTAAATAAAATTTTATAAAAAAGTTTATAAGTAAGTTAGAAGTAATAAAGAGGTACTAAGAGAAGAACTATTAGAGGCTTATAAGTAGATTTAATTAATAACCTTAGCTCTAGCTTTGCTTAAAATCTAATTATCTATGTATATAAGTGCATGGCGATACCCCTGCGGGCTGATGCAGGGTGCAGGTGGGGATGCTTGCCGAGACGCGTGTTGGCCTTAGCTGACACTGCGGCATCTGCAACCCGCTGCTCGCCGACTAATAGCAAGCGCCGACCATCTGAAAGCGACAAGTCGCTCTCAGCAGTCAGGCACCTTTCCACAGAATCTCCACGAGTTGTCCCGAGCCTAGCGCGAAGGCTCAGCAAACTGTCAACTCCATGTCCAGATCTAACTAGGTGGCGTAGTCCATCACGATGCTCGCAGTATTGCCGCGCGCATTTGAAGTGGGCGTCGAAGATACGAGTGAGCAGCTTCAAGTTCCGACTCGCGTCATGCATGCAGCTTCTTCTTCTCAACACCTGGGCACACTAGCAGCGACGGCACTGTTACATGCAAAGTGTCAGCATTCACTGCGGACCCGGCGGGCTGACCCAGGCATACAGAAGGATGCACCCGCGCATTAACACGCTAACAGTGCCCTCTCTGTAAGGTTTGCAGGGTCTTCCACACCACAGCCAAAGATCGCGATGACACGCGGTGCGGTGTACATTGATACCTGACAAAGCAATAGTCGAAAGCGGTCAATAGCAGAACTGAAAAAAGTATTCATGTGGCTAAAGATCGCGCGGCACGCGCAGCGCACTGCTGCTCTTACGCCTACTCTGATAACTAGCGACAAATCTACCCCATTAACATCGGTCAACAAACGAAACCTTCTGTCGGTCAACACTCGTTCCACACCGCCCCGTATTCGACCTTCGACGTATCGTAATCCAACCACTTCTCAACGGTGCAAGAATCATCGCTTTTGATTCTGTAACCACAAATCTTTACAGGCGTGTCGCTGATCATAGGAAGATTGATCTTGCCTTCGAAATACAAGCTATCTGCCCGGAATTCGAGATGCGCGGTTTCGCCAGAGATCCGAATCGGCCCCCCGATAGATGGTCTGTTCTCGTATAATCGAGCTTCGCAGTCGAGGTCGAGTGGCTTTTGTAAGTCGAGAGGCGGTGATTTTATGGTCGCGTCCAAAGGTAATTTATTTACACTTTTGAGCTCTTCTAGAATGTCTCGAAGTCTTTCTGTCTCCTTGTCGATCTTGCGTTTCCCATTGCTGTTGTCTCTTGAACGCTGGCTCAGGTGTCTATAACACCAATCTTGGACTATGTCAAGGCCAGGCGCCATGACCATGGTCCCTTTCAATAGCCCAAGGTTGAGGTGGGCCTCGAGCAAGCCACGTTCCTGTGTATGGTCATCAAGGCCTTGAACAACCATGCGCAGACTACTTTTTAGTTCTGGGTGTTTGTGCTCAATGAGTGGGCACTGAATCCAGTAAGTACCCATAGCCGCAACGAAAGTCTGCTTGGCACGGCACGCCTCGTGCTGGCTCATGAGGCTTTTCTCATCCTCGCTGCGTTCTGGAGTCCATGGGTTTTCGGGTTGCTTCCCCCAATAATTGTTCACATACTCCCCTGCATGTGAGGGTATGGCAGCGTCGACACCGTCGTTTGTGAACACTTCCGATTTGATCTTCTTACTGGACAGAATCTCATGGTCGTCTGGGATGGGTTCATCGAGCTCCCTTTTGAGGTCGTTTGCTGCGGGTGGTGTAGATGGAGGAGTGATTGTAGATGGAGGAGTGATTGTAGATGGAGGAGTGATTGTAGATGGAGGAGTGATTGTAGATGGAGGAGTGATTGTAGATGGAGGATTGAATGTAGATGGAGGAGTAATGTGCCAACCATGCGTGGTGTGCCACTCTGTCGCAAGTTCCTCGAATATCATTCTCGGATATACTGGCAGCTGCAATGATTGTCAGTAAAACGAATCGACTAAAGAAACTAGATATGAACTGAAGTAAGAGAGTATGGTACTTGCCAGATTTTCTGCCACGCCGCTGGCTTTCAGCTTTGCCAGTCCTTTCTTCAGCATGTTGATTTGGACCCAAAGTTGTTCCTTGCCCAAGTCCGCAGGGGAAATCACATCCCAGAATAGTGCGTGTCTGCGCATCTCTTTTTGGTTCATGTTGAAAAGCGTGACTAGAATGTTATCAATGCCGAGACGACGTTCTCCATTGATTTTGTACACTGTGCCGTCATATGAGTAGATGTCCCCTTCCACCTTTTTCTTCACCTCGATAACAATTGAATTCGACATTCTGTATGACCTGGAAGTTTGCAAGAAACACTAAGGGTATCGTCATGCCTTTATATGAAGAACTTTTGGATCCCTGTAGGCGTTCATACGGACGCGTCGCGCTAGTGACCACTAGTGCTCACTAGAACGCGCCGAAGAAGTAAATCTTCCCCAGCCATCTTCATTCTTGAAACCGTATCGATCACGATGGCTGAGATTCCGACAGCCTCTTAGACTCCATCGCGTTCTTTCGATATTAAATTGTTTCGGTCCGGATCAGGTTATGGTATAGTGTTGCTTCCTGTCGTCGGCCTTATTGTTAGCGCATAGTGTCTTGAGCCCTCAGGGTCAAATGCCACGCCACTTTCATCGTTAGAATGCGTTCGCGAAATCTTTTGTGGCGATGATCGTTGAGAACAATCTTCAAGGTTGTATGTCATTAGTCTATCCGCGATTTGCTCGTCTCGTGCCAACGTTACCTGCTTAGGTATATGACTGATACGGTGAGTGGTAACCACCACCTCTAGGTTCTGTTAACGTATCTCGCGCATGTACTATTGGAAGCTTTCATCCCCAAGCATGACGTCTTGCAGAATTTCAGGTTTCCTTTCGATATGCTAATCAATACTTCGTGTTTAGGTAGTGTCTCTAGCATATCCACATCTAGTCCGGAAGCGATGCTAAAATCATCTTCCGGAATAATCGAGACCACGAATAGATATTCGCAAAGTTTGCTAACGTCCAACTGCGAGATTGATAGCACAATTGCTTCATCTCAGTCAAATGCTTGCTACACTAGACCGGACAGATGTAGAAGGCGCCCGTTGGCGTATAGAAATGCGACGCATATATTCTATCATGTCCACCACGAGATCTCTACTACAAGTATGCGCTACATCTTCAATGAACAGAAATATATATATACGTCACCCACATTGTTTGCAATGGCATATCATCACCCGAGTGATGGCTTCCAAGGTTTGATTCACATCATGTGTATGGGGCTTTCACCACTCGCAAATGCGTACGGTCGCGCCTTTGCCAAGTATTCGCAAAAATGGCCACCTCCAAGTTACTATACTTGCCTTCACTCTCTACCCCGTCCACAGAAGCTGGAACCGCAACCTAGGTACTTCGGACGCGGGGGTCATACATCTCAGTTCAACTACACCTGCGGCACCTACCTACCACTTACAACTCGTTTGCCTCGAACAGACCGTCCCGCTCCCACTGCAGGACACTTCAAGGGAATAAGAGGGCCCTCCAAAACACACGCCCGACCGCCGCCATCATGCCTCTCCTACCTCTAACCAAGGGACAAAAGAAGGCAGCGAAGAGAGCTGCCAAGAAACAAGGCGCATCAGCTACTAAGGAGGCTCCTTCGAGTAACGTAAAGTATAGACTAGTCGATACTATCGAGCCTGAGCGGTTCGACACGCCCGCCATTCCATTCGTACCTACCCAGGATGGCGCAACATCGACACGGAATGTTGGTGTTTCTACTCCTCAACACTCCAGCCTTATGTCTTCTGAAGACATCGACGCTGCTTCATCTACCTCAACTGCCTTACAGCAGCTACCATCATCGAGCACTGATGTCGCTCGGTTTCAGTCCTCAGGCCCTTCGCCTACGTTGTCCGCACTGCCTTTAGAGTCCCTGGGCAGCTTCAACGATAGCTTCACCTTCACAGCTCCCACTGGCGTTGCTACGTTTGGTGAACGCTCAAATATCACTGACGTTTCCAACCACGAGTATGGATTTTCTTCCCCCCAGATTGTTGGGGACATTGAGGATGAAAGTCCAACTTCATTGGCTTTCAGCGAAGCCTTCGTGGAGGACCCACGTAATCCTACGTTCATGACCGCCGCAGCATCGACGGGAGCTTTTGAGGAAGTCTTGTCACAAACATCTGATACGACAAAGTCATCGACCTTCACGCGGCTCCAGGATACCACGACTACCACCGCTTCAGCACCTGCGCTCGTTGACCGTGCTGTTACTGACGTCGAGAAGAAGCTGGAAGTGTCTTCTGACTATGCAAACCAGGAGCGGGCTCTTGTACGGTACTGCACGCTCAAGACAATTAGTCTTGTTGCGGACTACGAAGTGGATCAGGGTCTCGATGAAACCAGCACCAACTTTTCACTTGAAAGTGTACTTCCTCATCGGATGTTCTTAGCGAGCGCGGATGGTGTGATCCAATGCATCGCATACGACCAGCTTCTACACGACGTCGAAACCGTCAAGGATGACGGCGGGTCGGACTTTGACTCCGTCGCATCTCCAATCAAAAGTTTCCTCGAGCATTCCAATGGCGCACATGACAAGACCTCCAAGAGTATTGACTGTCGCATCGAAGACGTCCAGTCAGACCCCGGCATCCGCGAAAGGCTTCACGATGTGGACAACGCGGGTTTAGAGGGTTCCGAAGTATCCGAATTGCGTGATCACGAAGAGCTCTCGAGCCATACGGACGGTTCGAATACCGGTCCAGACGAGGCTGCATCGGTCAGTACCGAGAAGCGTGAAGTTGTTGCGACGCAGCAAGGAAGTCTCCAATCAACCACACGCTCAGGCAGCAAAGAAGAGCTCCATAACGCACCACTGAACGAGCTCTCCAATGGAGAGCTTGCGGAGAGAGTGGCGACTAGTCCTCAAGTTCCAGTGGCTTCCAACGATGGACCCGATGTGAGTATAATACGTCTCGGTACGGAGCTCCTCTCCTCCTACCTTGAAGTCATCGAGGCCGAGGAAAGCGGAAAGGTTACTCGAGACGCCGTGATCACCGCGTTCCTGAAGCTTGTCAACATCGAGCGAAAGAAGCGAGGGGTTCATGCTCTACCGTCGTTATACACAGCACAAAGTGTGCTGCGCAGTGGTATTCTTCCACACACGATCATGCTTGGTACTACGACTGTTGCGTCTTTCACCGCTCAGTTGAGCTTCGATGAGAAAGACGAGGTTGTTATCAGCGACGTGTGTGCGGCTTGGGATCAATTGGGTCGTGAAGAAGTGCAACAGCAACGTGCAGCTTCCGAAGGCGTAATGGGCGTATTGAGTAGAGCGTTCGGCCGGCCCACGTAAAAATGGGCGGGCTCCGTGGGTTATGTCTCAAGAAGTGAGTCTGGGTGGAGGAAGAGACATGGAGTGTCTATACATGTCACCTCTCGTAGTACTTTAGGCCGTCATGAAGTTCATGCTGTCTTTGCATCGTACAGAACATGCTCTGAAAGTGTAACATACATCAATTCGACACAGTTCCCTTCCCAACCATCTCTGCGAGGCAAATTTTCAGCGCGATATGAACATATCCCTTCGGCTGGATCTTCGCGCCAGCTAATCTTGCACTGAGAAATTTTGCACGCATCACTCGTACGAGCCGGACAGCTCATCTCCCAGGTCGAATCGCCTGCGCAGCCGAAGTGTGGCAAACAACGACAAGGCTTGTCAGGGGTCGGTGGTAAGCAGGAGCTTTGGTGGGTCATGAGATGACTCCGGGAATCGTGCTCGGCAAGATCTGATATCCACAACAGCTGGCTGAAACAGCACAAGATCTTGGAAGTCCGATATCGTAGATGATAGTAGCCAGACTAGTCACACAAGGACAAGACTCTACACCGGTATACAGCAGCGGCTGAAGTTGATGTTGCCACACACCAAGATGCAGATACTCCTTTCCACCGTGGTGTATTACTGTAAACCGGATGACATCCCTGCCTACGTCCTTCATGTTTTCTTCTTCCGCGATGATGCCGTGATAGCCATCGGATGGACCGACCCTGATCTACGCGCCATCAAGGACATGGCTGGGTAAATTCGTACGACATCTAGATGCCACCGGCTTGCCAGCTAATATGAGGCATTCGGCGGTCTTGGATCTAAAGAACTGGGCAAGTTGCGCGACCTACAAGCGCAGCCGTAGTGCCCCGATGCTGTACGCGAAGCCGTTAGTGCTGTATACTGATGGTCGCTTCGAATGGTGTTGCACCAGCAGTTCATCCTGTAGTCCATGTTGTTAGTCAGATACTATCTTGTCGATCGCCTAACTGAGTACAGGCGATCAAGGCAGAATGAGAGTTCGCGAAGTGATGATCTCCTGAACGCTGAATGTGTGAACTGTGAAGAGTTCGCGAACCTCGATACACTTCCAGGGGTGCCTTGACCTGTCAGTAATAACACCACCATTATGCGTTCATGTAGTGCATAGTAACATTGTTTTCATGTACTCACCGACCTCGAGATCCACTCATGCACTCCACACATCATCTCCGCTCAAGATACCCACCGCGCTTGGCATGTCTTACCAGGATCGGTAGAAAAGCCGGCTACTATACATCTTGGCAGATCCTCTTCATCCGGTGGTTATCCTGAGTTTGCCGAGGCTTCCCGCCATGAGCGCCCAATGTTTCATCACGTGCGCCACTGTCGCTAACAATATCATCGCCTACATGACATTAGCGCGGCGGGTGTTCCTTCCAAGCTTCGTTGTCTTCCGAGGAGTGTGGGGTAAGGCGACCACCTGTACCCTAGTGGCGTTCTTTTATATTAACATCCTGTGAACCGGGTTGAGAAAGCGCGTAAAGCCCGGATCAGCGATATTATCTTTGTGGTGTCGTGCAGATGTGTGCAAGGGGCATGGATCTTTGTGCTCTTCTATCTTTTCCATGATTACCGAGGCCGGTCACTGAACGGTGCAGCTTGCCGTGTTCGTGGTTCCTAGGCCGTTCTAGTCAGTGCGCTGGGCGTGCTTTTCGAAATGAGAGGACTGGAACACACCATCGTCGTTGACACCAAGACGGATGTAGACAGAGGCGAGATGATACCTCATGACCACCAAAAGCGACTTCTTCCAGCGATTCAGGCTCATCTCCACCTCGAAGTCGACATATAAGCTCGCTGCTGCTCGCAGTTTAGTATCATCACCGCATCCAGCACAGATCTCCAACTCAGCTCAACATGGTCTCTTTCAAGTCTCTCCTTCTCGCCGCTGTGGCTACCACCAGCGTGCTCGCCGCTCCCTTTGACTTCCTCACTGAGCGTGACGATGGCAACGCAACTGCTCTTGAGAAGCGTCAGTCCACTCCCAGCGCTGAGGGCTACAACAACGGGTACTTCTACTCGTGGTGGACTGATGGCGGTGGTTCCGCTCAGTACACCATGGGAGAGGGCAGCAGGTACTCCGTGACCTGGAGGAACACCGGCAACTTCGTCGGTGGCAAGGGATGGAACCCTGGAACCGGCCGGTATGTCATCTGGAAGAACTAAGCTTCATCATTTGCTGATCCCCATCCTAGCACGATCAACTACGGCGGATCTTTCCAGCCTCAGGGTAACGGTTACCTTGCCGTCTACGGTTGGACCCGCAACCCGCTTGTGGAGTACTACGTGATCGAGTCTTACGGCACCTACAACCCCAGCAGCGGATCCCAGCGCAAGGGCAGCTTCACGACTGACGGCGGTACCTACGACGTTTCCACCTCCACCCGTACCAACCAGCCCTCCATCGATGGAACAAGGACCTTTCAGCAGTACTGGTAAGTTGACAAGCAATATGTAGACGTTGGACGCACGCTAACAACCTCCCAGGTCTGTCCGCACGCAGAAGCGCGTCGGTGGCAGCGTCAACATGCAGAACCACTTCAACGCCTGGGCTCGTTACGGCATGAACTTGGGCCAGCACTACTACCAGATCGTCGCCACTGAGGGTTACCAATCTTCTGGCAGCTCGGACATCTATGTGCAGACTTCTTAGGTCAGGCAGGATCGCGGATAATCGGATGAGCAGTCGGTGTGCAATAACAGACAATAGCGGCGCTTCGGTTGCTGTCCGAATTAGACTGTAGATACGGGCGATGCGGGTCGTTCGAACTAGTCCGTAATGTGTCAATCCAATCGCTCGTTCAAATACCGTTCGCCTTTAACTCCCTGCATTGACTTCCTTTTCTCCTATATCCCTGCAAGCAGACTTCCAAGCAATTATGTCGGCCACCTTCTAGAATCGGCCAAGCTTTCCTCGTGTTGTGGCTGCATGCCAAGCTCAGAACGTGGCTGCCAAGGTAGGAGATATATTACTTGTGGGTCATGATCTCGCAAGCGGAAATAACGCCCATCAGCCGAGAAGATGTAAGGGGTGGCTGCATGTGGCGTCGAAGCGTGATAGAAGTCCTCGTTACGGGTCTCCTCATCCGTGAGGCCTTTGATTTGGAGGACTAATCGTCGGGCATGAGGAACTTGGGTGCTGAGCGAAGTTGGACATGCTCCATGGCAGGACCCAACCTCCGAGAGCGTACTGCGTTGTCGCCAGTACGCGATTAACCGGATATGCAACTGCATGGTATCGACACTGTGATGCTGTTAGTCGAGTGACGATGGGACACAAAGAGAGCTATGCAGAAGAACGCAGTGCAGCAACTTCCCCTAGCAAGTAGTGAGACGCTGCTGTCCATGTTCACATCTGGAGCCGGCTTCTTGCCAACGGGTCCATCCGCTCGATATATTATCGTCGATCGTGGTGATCGTGATGATCGCCACAGGGAGAGTAACATGCAGTCGACGACATATCTTCGTTGTTAGTCACCATGTCATCAGACAGCTGGGAGGTTCTGATGGAGAAGATCATCGAGCCAACCATGAAACAGCGAGACGCTTGCAATATGACTGCGAATCCGGCCGCCACACCCGCAAAGATCTTGTTCGAACAGTCTAAAATCGGTGCGAAGAAGCCGGACGTGTGGAAAAAAAGGCCACACAAGGACACTGGGACAAGACGCGCATCCGAGCCGTTCGAGTGGAAGACCGCTGGGAAATCTTGAGTGGCGCGCAGATCATGGGTAGATGGAGCCAGCGGGAGTGACGGAACAACAACTTCCTGAGCCCGGACGGGTGGGCATCGGCTGGTAGATAGACATCACAATGTATCAGTCAAAGAGACATGAAAAAGTCCAGAAGTGTCTTCGATTTACTGTAGTGAACTTGAGTGATGGTGGCAGACGCATCAATGTTGGAAGTAAGACGATGGGAAGTCACGGATGCGCCTTACCCGATTGGGCGCACTGGGACGCAAGCCACCCCAGAGATAAAGCATTTATTTATCACGGCAATGGGAATAAGCAAGCATCGCAATACTGATACATCATTATCATATCTTCATTGAGCGGTGTATTTCCCCACCATGTACATGTATCCCCATTTCCTTTTATATACAATGACATCTACATCTTATTGAACACATTCGTGCCCGTAACATACTCCTCAGTCCCCTCTCTCCTCCGACTCTTCGTAACATTCTCATAAGTCTCCTCCGTAACAATGAGCTCGTCGCTCAAACTCTCCAACAACACGCTACTCTCCGCTTCTGCGCCGGCCATGTAATCGAAGCTCTCGCCAGACTCGCTGCCCGCCTTCTCAAACACATCAGCACCGCCGTCGAACCACCGGGCTTGCTCGCCTATCCAGTCTACTCCACCCGTGCGTCGGTCACGGCGTACGACTTCCTTTTCTTCGAGGGGTAGAAGGGGGAGGTCGGTCTTGGGAGGGAGGATGGTGCGACGGTGCCAGGCGCCGAGGAACATGCCTTCGGGGTCGACTTCGTTGCGGACGCGATTGTATTCGTCTAGGTCGTTGCCGTATACAGAAGAGAGGTAGGCGTTGTCGACGGATTGGAAGTTCTTTGCCCAGTGGGGTCGGCCGTTGTATTCTTTCATCAGGTGTTCGAAGGCCTGGTAGTAGCGTTCGCGGCAAGGGGGGTCCTGGCCATAGGGACGGTAGAGCGTGGCATTGAGGTACAGAGCAGGTTGGTCGGGATATGAGGTGTCCAGGAATGGACGCGGTTCTCGGTTGACAGTGTTTGCGATGCGGACTTCGATAGGCGAGTGGACGTAGAGACCTTTGGTGCTGAAGGGAATGCCAGAAGATTGCTCGTCGCCATGCAGCCAGTCTGTCAGTCGCGACAATACCTCGGGGCCTTTATCGAGGGGAACACTCCACTCGTTGACGAACTGCGAGTAGAGGCAGTTCATCAAGAGTTCCGTGCGCTGCTCGCCAACCGCAGAGATGAGAGCGCCGTCTTTGAAACCGTATTGCAT